ATTGGGAAAAGTGCAATAAGTTGGGGGTGGGTGGGGTGGAACTGCAAATTACTGACATAAATTCCACTTGCATAACATGTGGTTGTATTTTGAGTCTTGCGGTTGCTGGTCTTCCTCGTCAGAATATCTCCTCCTTTCCCTAAAACTCTGTGTTTTTAGAAATGGGGGCACAAATGTTCTCATGGGCAAATGTGAAATGTTGCTAAGACTAGACGGAGGCCGTCACTAAGTTCTCCTCTGAAACAAGTAGATGCTGTTGTGCAGCTCCCATTCATCTCAAAGGAGCTGACTCAGGACAACTTCCCGGTGGATTACCACCAGTTGAACGGCAGAGGCAGTACAACTGCCTTACTTATTCAGACTAAAGGTCAGTCTAGTCCATTATTCTCTCACCAATAATAGGCAGACAGAAGCAGCTGATAATATGCTGGGCACAAAGCTGATGGCCTTTCTCTGTTGGCTTGTCCTCAACAACTGGTGCCATTTTCTGCACCCCTTCATTTGCCATGCTTTCACACTGGGTTTTTTTGTACCTGCTCATCAGACCACCATAAAACAAACAAACCTTCAACAGACAAAGGGAACTACATATTTGTATCAAGTTAATGAAAGAGTGTGTGTGTGTGTGTGTGAATGAAACTTTATTTGCGTCAGCCATCAGCCATAGCAACAAGTACAGTGGTACCTCGGGTTACATATGCTTCAGGTTACATATGCTACATATGAGTTACAGACTCCGCTAACCCAGAAATAGTGTTTCAGGTTAAGAACTTTGCTTCAGGATGAGAACAGAAATCTGGCGGCGCGGCGGCAGCAGGAGGCCCCATTAGCTAAAGTGGTGCTTCAGGTTAAGAACAGTTTCAGGTTAAGTATGGACCTCCAGAACGAATTAAGTACTTAACCCGAGGTACTACTGTGTGTGTGTGTGTGTGTGTGTGTGTGTGTGTGTGTGCGTGTGTGTGTGCGTGTGTGTGCGTGTTGAGATTGTATGCAAACCTAAACTGAATTCCCTAAAAGCATAAACTTAAAATTCTGAATCTCCCTAGCAAGTCACAGCATTATCCTTTAATTATCTCCTTGAGGATAATGTTCCTGCAGATAGAACATGTGCCATCCAATCTTTGCAGTGAACATATACATATCTTGTCAGTGCAGCAGGTAGATTACAGTCTTGTGGATGAACTTTCCTGCGTTGGTTGCTAAGATCTGTCCCAAGTAATGTTGCTGAGCATATAATTGTTGTTGTTGTTTAGTCGTTTAGTCGTGTCCGACTCTTCGTAACCCCATGGAGCAGAGCACGCCAGGCACTCCTGTCTTTCACTGCCTCCCACAGTTTGGTCAAACTCATGTTAGCAGCTTCGAGAACACTGTCCAACCATCTCATCCTCTGTCGTCCCTTTCTCCTTGTGCCCTCCATCTTTCCCAACATCAGGGTCTTTTCCAGGGAGTCTTCTCTTCTCATGAGGTGGCCAAAGTATTGGAGCCTCAGCTTCAGGATCTGTCCTTCCAGGGAGCACTCAGGGCTGATTTCCTTAAGAATGGAGAGGTTTGACCTTCTTGGAGTCCACGGGACTCTCAAGAGTCTCCTCCAGCACCATAATTCAAAAGCATCAATTCTTCGGCGATCAGCCTTCTTTATGGTCCAGTCCAGCTCTCACTTCCATATATCACATAATACAAAGGGCAATATACAATAGTGTGTGCAGATCTTCAACCTGTTTTTAAATCACAAGGAGAGCTATGCTCAGAATGTGGCTCATGACTTTGCAAAAGAGAGGCTTAGTGGGTTATTGATGATACCACTGGATATTTTGATTGTTCCTGTGGACAGCAGATCATTGCATCCTTAGCTGTGGAGAACAAAAATGGAGGAGAATAGCTGGATCAGCTGGTATTCAAAGCGCAATTCATTGTCAAGGCAACGTGTTTGGGAGATAAAACGTGACTGTAGAGAAGTCATATTTGAGAAGTGGCCTATTTGAGAAATGTCTATTCCATAGTCCTTAGCCAATAATGGCTGATAGAAAAAATATGGAGATACAGTGCTGTAGTGAAATCATATCTGAAATGCTGGCATGGGTTGCAATAGTTTTGTTTTCAATATGTCCCCATCTTGTCTCCCCAACCCCCGCCTTCCTGGTACCCATTCCTCAATCCTAGAAATGGCATTACTGGTTGCATCTCCTAGTGGCACCATGGCGTTCAGGAATATGCAATGATAGCAGGATGACATTATGTGCTGTGACGTTACACAGATGTAACAGTTATCATGCCTTGTTGTGTGTGTTCCCACACAACTACAGTGGTACCTCAGGTTACATACGCCTCAGGTTACAGACTCTGCTAACCCAGAAATAGTGCTTCAGGTTAAGAACTTTGCTTCAGGATGAGAACAGAAATTGCATGGTGGCAGCGGGAGACCCCATTAGCTAAAGTGGTGCTTCAGGTTAAGAACAGTTTCAGGTTAAGAACGGACCTCCAGAACGAATTAAGTACTTAACCCGAGGTATCACTGTATAATAAATTAAAGAGGAACTGGTGCTAATTTGCTGCATTTTTATGCTGCAGATGTTGAGCACCGGTCCTTGACAATAACATTCCAGTTTGCTAGGTGCCACCCTTTTAAAAAAACCCCCTCTCAGATCTACCCTGAAAGCAAATCTCAAGTTTATGAATTTCCATATGAAATTGAATTGTTTGTTTACTTGGAAAAACATGTCATATCTCTAAAGAACTCTGGCTCCAACACTTGATGGAAAGTCAAAAGAGAGGAGTTCATTTACCATTTTGGCCCACGGTAATCCAGGTAAACAACTCTGTCAATTTAAGCTGTTTCGGCATAATGAGGAATTTGCATCACAAATTCACGAGTTGCCCATTACAAAGTCATGACTAATTTATAAGCAACAAAATGCTTGGTGAATTCGAATGCAAAGTTCACAGTTGCGAAAATAACATGATTCTCTGAACCCTTGTTCACAAAATAGCAAGTCAGTTTCTTTCAGTTCAGCTGGACAGCATGTAGGCCCCGTTGTGCTTTGTCACAACCTGGGTGTGATGTGGGGTTTTCGTTGTTGTCATTATTGAACCCAGTAAATTGTGAGAGAATGTGGGCAAGCCCATAACAAGGATTTGCTTGAAATTACTCAACACAAATACTGTAGCTAGTGTTTGCAGGTAGCTTTGTAATTTGAAGAAAACATTGGATGAATCGGAGCCAGAAGTTCTCTGCTCTCATTAAAGCTCAATCAAAACCAGGAACCGAAGACCTTCTGTTTCATGGGTAGTGTTATGTACAGTGGTGCCTCGCAAGATGAAATTAATTTGTTCCGCGAGTTTTGTCATCTTGCGATTTTTTTCGTCTTGCGAAGCACGGTGTCGGGAAAGTTTTGGAAAAGCTTCAAAAATCACCAAAGTCTTTAAAAACCTCAAAAAAGGCTACCACGCTTCGTTCTATGAGTTGCTTCTCGAAGTCAAGTCGCAACTGTATTAACGGTGTTAAGAAAAAGGAAACAAACTTGCAAGACGTTTCCGTCTTGCGAAGCAAGCCCATAGGGAAAATCGTCTTGCGAAGCAGCTCAAAAAACAAAAAACCCTTTCGTCTAGCGAGTTTTTTGTCTTGCGAGGCATTCGTCTTGCGAGGTACCACTGTACTAACCTTGGATCCTAGAACAATAGGCAAGTAGGATTCTAGAAGGCAACAACTGATTGGCTTGCAGGAAAAGGCCAATCAGGCTCCAGGAAGAAGTTAATCAGCCCATTAGGCTGGTAGAATAGTAGAATGCAACAACTGACTGGCCTGCAGGAAAAGACCAATCAGGCTCCAGGAGGGAAGCAGAATCAGCCAATCAGACGGGACTCATTGTGTAAATAATGTATATAAAAGCCTGAGGTTTGGGGGCAATTCAATCACTGTTTTACAAGCTGCGATAAAAAGCATGAAATCACTACAGGACTCCAAGTATATTTCAGGTAGGCAAACTAAGGCCCGGGGGCCATATCCGGCCCAATAGCCTTCTCATTCTGGCCCACGGAAAGTCCAGGAATCAGCGTGTTTTTACATGAGTAGAATGTGTGCTTTTATTTAAAATGCATCTCTGGGTTATTTGTGGGGCATAGGAATTTGTTCAAACCCCCCCCCCCCCGCAAAAAATATATATAGTCCGGTCCCCCACAAGGTCTGAGGGATAGTGGAAGGGCGCCCTGCTGAAAAAGTTTGCTGACCCCTGTTCTATTTCAAGCCCAAAGTGTTGTACTCTCTTGCAACATCTGGCGCATCTGCAATTGCTTGGGTTCATCACTGCCTTGCTTGGGTTCTCTTCTGCCCATCTAGTATTAGTAGGGCAGTTAAAATTAGGCAATGCATTACAAAGAGGAGGTGAAAAGAGGACATGGATTTGCATTAATTGTATATGTGCTAATTAAATTAGATGTAAATTAAAACAACAACACTTAGTCATTTAAATAGAAGTAAAAGGCATCCCATAATAGTGGAGAAGACTGTGACCAGATGACCTGCTTTGTTTGTTGTCCAGGTGCCAACTCATGATGCACAATTTCAAGGCCCCTTCTGCTCTCCCGTCTTCAAGCTCTTTATCTTTAAACCAGACTTAGACTGGAAAGTGCTTCAAACAGAAGACTACTTCACATAGAGAACTGTCCCCTGATAGCCCTTCAAGAGTAGAAGGTAAAGTAATATGTCCATAGCCCTAGTTTTACTCAATTTTCTATGCCAATGAAACATACCTATGTTCCTGAGTCAAAATCTCAGATCCCCTCCCTCCTGTCCAGTAAGGTAAAGGGACCCCTGACCATTAGGTCCAGTTGTGACCGGCTCTGGGGTTGCGGTGCTCATCTCGCTTTATTGGCCGAGGGAGCCGGCGTACAGCTTCCGGGTCATGTGGCCAGCATGACTAAGCCGCTTCTGGCGAACCAGAGCAGCGCACGGAAACGCCGTTTACCTTCCCGCTGGAGCAGTACCTATTTATCTACTTGCACATTGATGTGCTTTCAAATTGCTAGGTTGGCAGGAGCAGGGACCGAGCAACGGACGCTCTCCCCGTCACGGGGAATCGAACCGCCAACCTTCTGATCGGCCAGTCCTAGGCTCTGTGGTTTAACCCACAGCACCACCCGCATCCCATCTCCTGTCCAGTACAAAGCACCAAATCAAGGATGTGACCTGCCAAATGTGTAAGATCAGATGATCTAATCTGAGACAGACCCATGGTTGCAATGGAGGCCATGAAATCCTGACAGAGGGAGCCTTATTGATGTTGAAGTTCCCTCAAATCAACCAGTCTAGGTTCCTCCAAAAGCACCCTCCAACCATCTCTGTCTGCTCAGACACAGAAACTGTTCGCAGTGGAACAAATGGCATCGTAAGAGAATGTCTATCCTGTCTCAAGGGCTCAGTACCAGCTACAGAGAGGTTTCGGAGCAGAAATCTGGTGAAGGAGATGGGTTTGTGGTAGACTGTGACAACTCTTCTCTCAGCCCATAGAGCCTTGGCTAACACTGTACCACAATACTTGTTGGGAACAACTGAGTGAGACAAACCTCTCACTCATGCCAGGTCACTATGTTCATCCATAATTCTTGGCGTCACATGGTTTAGCAGCATTGACTGATCTGATGTTAATTCACTAGTACTACTAAGATGGATAACTGATAGGGCAATCAGGGAGCCCCAAGATCAGACAAGGACCAGAGGGGTTCACAGCCTACAGCTGCCTGATCTCCTTTCTCCTTTGTTAGTCCATTCATGAATAATCTCCAACCATCAACACACTACCAAGCACAGGACTAGCCTTCTCACTCACTTGAATTCCAAGTCAACCCCACCCCACATACCATATTTTTCACACTTTAAGACGCACCCGACCATAAGACGCACCTAGTTTTAGAGGAGGAGAACAAGAAAAAAAAATCTCTCCTTCTCTGCGCAGCGCCTCTCCAGCGAAGTGAAGTCAGAACAGCAAGAGGGATCACCGCGCAGTGAAATCAGTGATCCCTCTTGCTGTTCTGGCTTCTGGGATAGCCGTGCCAAGCCTCTTCAGGGCAGGGGGAGCTTTCCTCCCATTGCCCTGAAGAGGCTTCGCGCTGCTATCGCTGAAGCTAGGAGAGCGAGAGGGATCGCTGTGCACCGATCCCTCTCGCTTTCCTGGCTTCAGCGATAGCTTTGCAGCCTGCATTCGCTCCATAAGACGCACACACATTTCCCCTTTTTAGGAGGGGAGACGTGCGTCTTAATAGAGCGAAAAATACGGTAATTTGCATTTGCATTGCATTTCCTAGTAGAGATTTGAATCTTTTTCTTTTAATGTAAGAATGCTTAACAATTGAACTCACAGTAGACGTCGTATTAGTTATACTATCTGCTGGTGGGGGTATGATGGAGAAGGTGCAATACATGGAAGTAACCTCTCAGAATGGGTGCATGTTACATTTATTTTTTTTAAGGCACCCCCAAAAATTCACACAAAGGCAAAAGAGTGAGAAAACAAAAGGGGCATTCCTGGTAACTAGAGACAGCTGAGTCCTGTTTGCTCAGACAATTCACAGTCACGTATGGGAGAGAGCCAGACTGCCTCTGCTGGTCCTATACCACGGCTTAGCTGCTGGCCTTTCACATCCTGACAGCTGGGGGAGGACATGTCTATAGAGGGGAGCCTACTCTGCAAACATATGGACCCTACCCTGAACACAGAGGTTCTGAATAGGAAATGCAGAGCAGCCCCCCTTTCATGTACATGCTCCCGTCCCCCAATCCATGGACAGCAAGGGGACGAGATGTATATAATCCCTGCTCTCCCCCTTATGCGATCATGACTTGCATAAGGGATAATGGCCAAACAGGGCTTTGAAGCTCATAGGATCCAAGTGAAAGTGATATCCATTTCACTTAAGTTTTCATGGACAGATAATTGATTGCATGTATTAATGTACTTACTGAATTCTAAGATAATGGTTTGCAAGAAAACAGAGCACACTTTCATAGTGGGCATTTAAAATGTGATTGAAAACTCATGCTATTAATCTCTGGTTATTTCATCATGGGGAGGTGCCAATCTCCCCACTCTGTTTTTTCACCTATAATTCTTTCATTTTTGCCCACTTCTCTCAGAATGGCTAGGACGGAAACAAGAACGAGATACCTGGAGCCTTGGATGATTGCGTTGATTGTCCTAGCGGTGTTTGCAGTCGTAGCCCTTGTTGTCGGCCTGCTGGTTTATTTTTTGGTATATGGTGAGTGCATCAATTGTTACCAATCCATCTGGCCTGAACTGCTCTCTGTTTTCAAAATGGTCTCAACCAGGCTTTGTGATCAAGACAACCTCTAGCCCAGGGCATGCACCCCGGAACATGTGCTTTGAGGTTCTGCAGGGTGCTGTCGTCTCCCCAGTGCTGTTTTACATCTATATGAAGCCATTGGGAGTGGTCATGAGGAGTTTTGGAGCACAGTGTCTTCATATGCCAGTGGTGGCGAACCTTTTAGAGACCGGGTGCCCAAACTGCAAACCAAAACCCACTTATTTATTGCAAAGTGCCCAGAGTTGTTGAGATTTTTGTTGAGGTTTTTTTGGGGGGGGGCTCCCCAAAGTTGTCGAGCTTTTCAGGAGGAGCGGCTGACCAAAATTTTGGAGCTTTTTTGGGGGGGGTTGCAAAAGTTGTCTTGCTTTTTTTGGGGGGGGATGCCCCAAAGCTGCTGAGCTTTTTGGGGGGGAGAGAGAACAATGACAAATAATACCTAACTAACGTGCAGCTGGAACTAATGCCCCACAAATAAAATAACCCAGAGATGCATTTTAAATAAAAGCACACATTCTACTCATGTAAAACCACACTGATTCCTGGACTGTCCGCGGGCCGGATTTAGAAGGCGATTGGGTCGGATCTGGCTCCTGGCCTTTAGTTTGCCTCCCCATGCTTTAGTGTCATCAGCTCAGTATTATGAAATATTCTGCCAGTGGAGATTCAAGTACAGTGGTGCCTCGCAAGACGAAAATAATCCGTTCCACGAGTCTCTTCGTCTAGCGGTTTTTTCATCTTGCGAAGCAACCCTATTAGCGGCTTAGCGGATTAGCGCTATTAGCGGCTTAGCGGCTATTAAAGGCTTAGCGGCTTAGCGGCTAAAAGGCTATTAGCGGCTTAGCGGCTAAAAGGTTATTAGCGGCTAAGCGGCTTAGAAAAAGGAGGGGGGCGGAAAAAATCGCAAGACGTTTCCGTCTTGCGAAGCAAGCCCATAGGGAAAATCGTCTTGCGAAGCGCATCGAAAAACCCTTTCGTCTAGCGGGTTTTTCATCTTGCGAGGCATTCGTCTTGCGAGGCACCAATGTAGGTGCCTTCTGTGCCAACTTTAAATGCCTGATGAAAACTTTTTTATTCCACCAGGTCTATGTAGGCAATGAACTTCCCACAACAGTTAGCTGATTTCTGATTTTAACTTTTTGCCTATGTTTTTACTGTGTGGTTGTATGGGTTATTACTGTAAACGGCTGTGATACGTTTTATGAATAGCAGTAAACAAATATTTCTATGGACAAATAAATATGCTTTAAATTTATGGTGTATGGATGCAGCCTGGAGCACCGTACCTATTCCTGGGCAAATGAAAGGCAGGGAGCAGCTTGCTACTCTCCCTTCTCTGCAGAGAGAGATATGACAGCGCTCTGTTTCAGAGTTAAAAACACGGAGCGCCTCTGTCAGTGACTGCTCACCTCTGCGCCACGATCTTGTAGATAGCCAGAGCCACACTGGGGCGAAGTAAAGAGAAGATGAACATTGTTTAACGTCTTCTTTTCCTCCACTTCCTTTGCTGCAGATCAGAAGTTGTTCTTTTACAATGCTTCCTTTAGAATCAGTAATGAGCCATACCAACCGAGTTTGGAAAAAACAGACCTCGAAAGAATTTAGAGACCTGAGCTCCACCATTGAGACTATAGTAAGTGAAAATGGTTTTCTTTCTTTCTCCCTCTCTCATTCTAAACGCCACTTTTTGTGCAAAAAGAAAAATAACTGACGAAAGCTGGGGTGACATGAGGAATAAACCGGATTGCCTGTGCTGATCGCCGAAGAATTGATGCTTTTGAATTATGGTGCTGGAGGAGACTCTTGAGAGTCCCATGGACTGCAAGAAGATCAAACCTTTCCATTCTTAAGAAAATCAGCCCTGAGTGCTCACTGGAAGGACAGATCCTAAAGCTCAGGCTCCAATACTTTGGCCACCTCATGAGAAGAGAAGACTCCCGGGAAAAGACCCTGATGTTGGGAAAGATGGAGGGCACAAGGAGAAGGGGACGACAGAGGAGGAGATGGTTGGACAGTGTTCTGGAAGCTACTAACATGAGTTTGACCAAACTGCGGGAGGCAGTGGAAGACAGGAGTGCCTGGTGTGCTCTGGTACATGTGGTCACGAAGAGTCGGACACGACTAAGCTACTAAACAACAACAACAAAAACAAAGCCTGGGCACAGCAATCTAGAATCTGATGCAAAGTTATCAAGGCTATTCTTGTAAGCCTGGCCATAATTTTAGCGGGAACGTGAAGTATTCTTTTTCTGTCAGCTGTTTTATTTTATTTACCAGCCATGTGTTTACTACCCTTAAAAAAACAAACGCAAACCCTAAATGTTCTTCATAAATTGCGAAGTACAGCATGACAAACACCACATGGTGATGATAAACAATAGCTGAGTCTACAGAGATTGCAAGTTATTTTTATTAATTTTGTGGCGCAGAGATTTTCAAATGTGTGTGAAATTTCTCTGAGGCATTCTGGGATGGACTTGCCTAATATCATTTTCCTTCCTTTCTTCCTTTCAACAGATTAATGAGGCATTTGAAGGTACTCCGTTGAAGAAAAGGAAGATCAAATCGCAAGTCGTAAATCTACGGTATGTAAAGCAAATGTTTTACGGCCAAAAGTGAAGTTTGGTAGACAGTGGTACCTCGGGTTACATACACTTCAGGTTACAGACTCCACTAACCCAGAAATAGTACCTCCGGTTAAGAACTTTGCTTCAGGATGAGAACAGAAATCGTGCGGCGGCGGCGCAGTGGCAGCAGGAGGCCCCATTAGCTAAAGTGGTGCTTCAGGTTAAGAACAGTTTCAGGTTAAGAACGGACCTCCAGAACGAATTAAGTACGTAACCCGAGGTACCACTGTAAAGTTAAATGTAAATCAGTTTGTTGTTGTTTTTTAATAATTTTTTTATTAGGGTTTTTACAATATTACAAAATAGAAAAAGAAAAAAGAAAAAATACAAATAAAAACAGTTAAAAACAGTCAATCTTTTCATCACTTATTTTTCATTTACTTGTTTCCTGGACCTCCTCATACCTCCCTTTTTTGTATTCCAGTTCTATTTATTAGCTCAGCAGTTTCTTTCCCTCTTTATTCTACCCAGATCTTTAATCTTAAATTATTATAACCTTGAATTTTTACTTATAAAAAACAATTTTTTCATATTCTTTTATATCATTACAGCTAGAAGCCACTTAATTTCAATCCAACATCATTCTAACAGAAGTTTGCCCAAGATGACTTTAGACACTGAATTGGCCTTACCTTCTAGTAGCAATGGAGAACATTTCTCCTTTTAGCCCAAGGTCTGAATTCACTCTTGAGGGCTGCATTTGCATGCCAGGAGTGGACATGGCCATTCCAATCCCTTCTCAGATTGATCTGATGACCAGGGGGGTGGCGTGGCGAGCTGCTCACGGAGTCTGCCTGGCAGACGCAAGCCCCACAGTGCCGTTTCTGGCAGCACAGTGCCCCGACCCACTGCGTCACTCCCAGGGGAGACACGTGGCTTGGGCGCGCTGTAGGCCAAGCCCCGTGGTAAGTGCCACCCCCCGTGGTGTGCCATTTTGTCACCCCCTCAGGGATGACACCCGGGGCAGACTGCACCCCCCCACCCCTCCCTTCCTGTGTGTCACGGTCCGGTTCACAGGCGGTCGAAGTCCCGGCTGGTGACGTCGGGACCGGGGGCAAGATGGCAGGGTGGGAGCAGGAACAGGAGTCCGGAAGCCAGGAGTCAGGACGCCAAGACTCCAAGGGTCAGAGAGCCGGGAGTCAAGAAGGCAAGGGTCCGAGGGTTAGGAAGCAAGGAGTCATCAAGTCAAAGGTCTAAGGATCAAAAAATGAGAGTCACGAAGTCAAGGGTCCGAGGATCAAGGAGTCAAACACAGCAAGGCAGGGAACATGTTGCTGTGGCAAAGAGCCGAAGGGAAAATGCTGACCTTATATCCCTTCCCGGCTCTTGCCACCAGGTGCTGTGAGTTACCAATCGGCCTCACCTGTGTGGCCGCGCCTTGCCTCTCCAGAACAAACTTAGGAAGGCCCCAGTCCTGCAAAGTCCTACTGGTCACAGGGCCTGGCTCCTGCACGCACTCCTGATACTACGCCCCTGGGGAGGAGGCAATTTCCACTTCCATCAGGGAACTGTGTATACGTTCTCCTCAGCATATCGACGCATCCCTTTTGTTTCTTACTCATTCCGTTTTGATTATGTACACCTTATGACTCAGTTTCTGAGTCTGCTGTTCAAATGATGATGGGATATGATACTGCATTCCACTTTTACGCTGTTATTTACCCAAAAAATCAGAGAAGCTTACGGGTAGTTCCTACGCAGTACCCCATGGTAGCAACTTACAGGGCCAGACCTGCTTACTTTCGCCAGCATTAATTTTATTCCTTTCATCCCACACTGCTTCCAAAGAGCTCATTATGATCTGTGCACTGGGACAAATGGGTCTTGTGCTTTTCTCTCATACACCTCGGACTGGTTGTTGGTTACGGGCTCATAAACTTGATTGCTCTCCAGTGAAATTGGATGGCTGGTTTTTTTTTAATGGCCTTACCTTGGGCTTTGCCAACAGTGTATTTAAATACAAATACCACCCTCTTCTTAGTTATAAATCCAGCTGCCGGATTTTAAAAGTAGGTGGGATGATTTAAAAACCATTAATCGTTCCGTAGCTCAATAACTTTTTAGATGTTTATAAAGATAACCGTGCCTGAGTCGCTGTGCTGGGAACAGATGACTTGCCAGAAATGGGAATAAATTCCCATCTTCTTGCTTGTGTGTGTGTACAGTGCACCTGAGGGAATGAAAATGACAATATCCAAGGTGAGAAATGGTGGAGTCTAGAAGCAGACGCCACAAACAGTTCCACCAGAGCTCCACAGAGCCAGGCTTTTACATCTGCATCATGTAATCTATGACTAATAGGATGGATGAGGTGGCTGTCTCTCAGGTTCAAGGTGTCACTAAGGACAGCAAACGGGAGAGAGACAGATATGATCTGAGAAACACATCATGCACAAGCCCTGTTAAAATGAATGGAAGCTTGCAAGGACATAGTTTTGGGGTGGTAGACTGATTGAAAATCCCACCCCCCTCAGAACAGATTGCTGCCCCAGTCACAAGGGGGCCCATTCTAGTGCTTTTTCAGGGAGCTAAAATTGTTTGGTGGGGCTTACACCCCGTGGTTGAATTGCCCTTCTCTCTCCCTACCCCTTTTCAACTTTTTCAAATCTCCTCTCAGAATGCAGCTCATTTTGGCAACCAGGGAAAGAGGCTTTGCTCCTAGAGGAGCTAAAAACAGATGGTGCACCTTCCAAAAGTAAGACCCCAGGAACTTTTCGGAGACTCCCACCCTCAAGTTTCGGAGGGTACCCCAAAATGTCTTGTTTGAGCAGTGGTGCAGTGGGAGGGGGCATGGGGCATGGGGTGGTTGCCCTGGGCACAAAATTGTTAGGGGTGCAAAATTTCAACACCCAGTTCTCCCTGCGTGCCTCCGTTGCTGGTCTCTGTTGAAAACGGCTTCTCCCTGAGAACCAGGAAGTGACCTCTCTGGATAATGGAACACCTCTTCTTTTCTTACCTCTGTGGCTGTGATCTGCTGGGTGACGTGGATGCCGTTAGGCAGTCAAATGTGTTAGGCAGTAGAATCCGTTTCCCTCCCACCACCCTCTACACAGCCCCGGACTCTGGCAACCCATGCTACACCACTGTGCTTGAGAGCTATTGCTCAGCAATATTTCTTACACAGCCCCCGTTCATTCTTGAGTTATGCAAGAAGGGAGAACATCTGGGCAGTGGAGGCTAGTCCATTAGGGACAAGTGGGCACTCCCCCAGCCAGCTTAGCTTGCCCTCAGCCAGCCTCTACCTCCTTACATACAACCAGGCTGATGGAGGTGGTAGGCACTGCCGATACAGCCTCCTCCTCCTCATTCCCTACATGTTGCCTTTGTGGAACCCAGGAAGGATAAGGATGGGACTAAAACTTGAATTACTGGCTCTGGACTTCACCTGCCTTCTGCCTTATCAGTCCGAATGGGTGACAGCCTCCATTGCATCCCAGCAAACTGTGTACCATATCAATTAGTAGGAGGTGGAGATGCTCTTTCATTTTCTTCCACCTCAGTTGCCCAGATGTCCTGGGCCAGCCTCGCCTGTGCAGAAAAGTTCTAGTAGAAGATACCCCGGCTTGTGGGATCACCTGTCTGAGGCTTTGTTTTTCTTTGCAGTGAAGACAACAATGGCGTGCTTGCAGACGTGGTGCTGGTCTTTAGGTTCATTGCCTCGGATAGGAAAGAGGCCCTCTGGATGAGTGTGAACGATCTTTTGCTGAGGAGGCTGAGGTTGCCAACATGGCCCTTGAGGATTGACCTTTCATCTTACAAGCTCAGAGGCAAGTGTCAGACATTATTACCTTTTAAAATCTTGACTGGATTCCTCCCACCATGTTTTCCTTTCTCTGCTTTGTGCCCTGGAGCATATGGTGTTTCCTCATAAATTTATTACCTGCTCCCCTTGCTTGCTTCTCGTGGACAAACTGCCCCCATTGGTTTTTGCTATGAAGCCATCTGCTAAGCTCTGCCCCAACCACAATTTCCAGGCTGCCAAGTTTATCCCTGTTTTCCAGCTCATGCCTTGTATTTCATCAGCTGTCCCAGCTGGCTGTGCTCAGGAATTACGTAATCATACAGGACGAGGGGGACACGGGTGGCGCTGTGGGTTAAACCACAGAGCCTAGGACTTGCTGATCAGAAGGTCAGCAGTTCGAATCCCTGCGACGGGTGAGCTCCTGTTGCTCGGTCCCTGCTCCTGCCAACCTAGCAGTTCAAAAGCACGTCAAAGTGCAAGTAGATAAATAGGTACCACTCCAGTGGGAAGGTAAACAGCTTTTCCGTGTGCTGCTCCGGTTAGCCAGAAGCAGCTTAGTCATTCTGGCCACATGACCCGGAAGCTGTACACCGGCTCCCTCAGCCAATAAAGCGAGATGAGCGCTACAACCCCAGAGTCGGTCACGACTGGACCTAATGGTCAGGGGTCCCTTTACCTTTACCTTACAGGATGAGGGGGTTGCATACCGGGGCATTTTGGTCATATTATATCTATTTTTGACTGGGAGACAGAGCTGATAGATTAGATTAAAGGTAAAAGTAAAGGGACCCCTGACCATTAGGTCCAGTTGTGGCCGACTCTAGGGTTGCGGCACTCATCTTGCTTTATTGGCTGAGGGAGCCGGCGTACAGCTTCCAGGTCATGTGGCCAGCATGACTAAGCCGCTTCTGGCGAACCAGAGCAGCGCATGGAAACGCCATTTACCTTCCCACCACAGCAGTACCTATTTATCTACTTGCACTTTGACGTGCTTTCGAACTGCTAGGTTGGCAGGAGCTGGGACCCAGCAACGGGAGCTCACCCCGTCACGGGGATTTGAACCGCCGACCTTCTGATCGGCAAGTCCTAGGCTCTGTGGTTTAATCCAAAGTGCCACCCACGTCCCTATAGATTAGATTACGTAGGTACTTTATAGGACCTCTGTGATCCTTGCATAATGCCGCCAATCAAAAAGTGGGTTGTCCATGGGGCTTCTGCAGGAGGGTCAGATCTGCCTGTCTTTCGAATAGTCCAACAGGGCTCAACACTTATGTAATTCCTCCCAACTATGGAAAAGCAGTGGTGTGGTGATTAGTGAGGTGGTCCTCATGTGTGTGCTTATTGGGCTACATCTTAATCATATTTTGAAAGGAAGACTCAGGGTTTATCCACACTTAACTTTTGCCCCACGCTTATGAGGCACAGGCCCACCTGTCTGAGTACCCTTTTTCCTGCCCCAGAGCTTTCCCCATGCAAAAACTGCTCTTTAAAGCTGTAGCACAGCAAATGGCAATTCTGGTTTTTGCGGGGAAAGCTCTGGAGCAAAAAAAATAAAAAGACTGTGCCTGGGAAGAACAGAGGAAAGGTAAGAGTTGCACGGCAACCAGTCATCCTGTAACAAATAATTAGCTAATTCATTTTGTAATTAACTCTGGTTGACTTATTAATATCCATAACATAGTCTTTTCATAAGAGTCTTTGATTAATAAATGATTTGGATTTAAATATGTGCAATGATAAACATCGGCCATCATTAAAAAAATGCATGAGTTGCACTATGCAAATTGCTGCACTGGGAATGAATAATACGATAATAGATTATAGCTTTATCCCTACAAATGAAAAGGCAGTCGTGATTGGCAGGTGACAGTTCTGCACCACAATTGGCGCAAGCTACTTGTGGATGTTGCATTATATACGCAAGGATGAGGGATGTGCGAAACTATTACTGCTCTGGCCCCCGAAGATGAGACCAAGTCTTCTGCAACCTCTTTTGGCTCCTGCTGAAATAACCTCAAATGTTTTGCCTGAGGAAGTTCCCCAACATTTGCAATGAGTTTCACGTTGCAACAGGTCTGGGATCTGCAAGGCTCTATGCCTCCAAGAAGCCACCTGGGCAACCAGCGGGAAAAGTGGATAGGAAGAATATTTTTCTCCCTCTATTCTTATACCAGAGCCCAGGGTCATCCCAGAAAGCAGAACGGTGGGACTCAGGGCAGATAAAATGAGAGGCTTCTTCACAATGCTGCATCAATAAACTATGGCATTTGTTTCCACAAGATGGTCACTAACTTGGACAAATTTACAAGGTGCATTAGATCAGTTTATGGAGGCTTGCTACTAGTCTTGATGGCTATTTTACTTCTACTGTCACAGTCAGAATGTCTATGAATACCTGTTCTTGGGGAGCAAGAGGGGGAAGAGGGCTATTTTTGTCATGTCCTGGTTGTGGGTTTCCCAGAGGTATTTGGTTGAGATCCTGGACTAGATGAAAAAGACCTTTAAATTAACATTTGCAAAGAAGCCATAAACATTTCTACTTGGAATTTTAGGCAGTGATATCCCAAAAACTATAAGAGAAATGTTTTTATATGCAACAGCCGCTGCCCGGTTATTAATTGCATCAAACTGGAAAGGGGGGAAAGTACCAACAGTAAGGCTCAATTGACAGATAGATTAAGGGGAAATACAAAATCATTTACCCAAAAATGGGATATGTTCAAGAAATATCTACAAAAATATAACAATGACATAGCATCTGTGGCAACGTTTGAAAGACCCTTGTGTAAATTAAATACTGCTAAGCAAGGAACAATGGTACGATATGTTATAAGAAAGTACTACAAACTATAGTAACAGTAAGGTAAGAAGTATAAGTACATTCAGTGTCGTAAATATAACTTACATCGGGAAATGACGGGAAGTCTGTTTTCATATAATTTAGTTTATTGGATTTTTTACTTTGGTTTACTTTAAGTTAGAAATTATAAGAAAAGAGCATGTACAAATACAAGTTTAAAAGAGAGAGAGAGAGAGAGAGAGAGAGAGAGAGAGAGATATGCTGGACTAGATATGCCTATGATCCAGTTCTTAACTAAAAGCTCAGTTTTTGCAAGCAGAGTCTTGAAAGTCCATTCTCATCCATGGAAAGAGCTCCAAGCGACAGGGCTAACATGACTGCCTCTTTTGCCTTATTTTCCAGAGATCAATAAAGCCAACGGTGAACATCTTATCAGCAATTGTAAGTACTAAAAACTGGGCGGTGTTCCAAAAGGGGGTTGCTAGAAATGGCATTGCTTTCGGCACTGTGCTTGAATCTTGTTGCATTCTGGGTGGCTCTTTGTCGACCGCCATGTATTTGCAGTCTGAACGGCAGATAGGACATCATTTTAAAGACTCTCTCTTTAACAATTCCTTCTGCAGCTCTGAAGCTGTACTGGGTGCGTGGGCTGGAGAACGGAGGTTACTGAGGGCCGTGCATCACTAAGATATTTGTCGGTCAAGATACTACAAAGTATGCTGAGTTTTAAATGGGTATCCATGGCATTTTAGCTCTGCAAAAAGTCTTTAGTGTTCCCTAGTCCCTGTAAAACGTGAATAAGGCGGACCACACAGCAGCTGTCAAAAAGTAAAAAATTAGATAGGCAAGTCAACTTGAAAAAAGTGTTTTAATTTAGACTGCTATCATAAACTAGGAACCCTCTTTTTTAAAAAAGAGGTCTCAAGGGCCAGCAGAAAAGACATTGCCAGTGGTCCACTGTCAGGAATGATTGGTGGGTGCTAGTAGAGATAAGAGTCCGGGAATCCAGCCATATTTACAAAGATTTATTGGTTTCTTCAAGCTATTTACAAGAGCTCAAAAAGTCCGTCTCCATCATGGTGAGTCAGTTGCCTCGACTGAAGAGGCTTTCCGTCCCCCCCCAGCATATCCATTTCCTGAGCCCAAGCCCCTTCCTTCCTCTGTTACGAGAGTGGCTGGGCCCCGGAAGTGGCTCCCCCCTCTCAGATTCATTGCCTCCTGACAGCCCTTCGTCACCTTCCTCGCCCGAGGAAGAACAGCTGCTAATGAACGGAGCCTGATCTCTGTAAGTCCCCATTCTCTCCCCCTTCTCTGCCTCCAATCCCCTGACAGCCACACATAGAATTGGTTTAGAAAGTACAACCAGCCATTATAACGGAAGTGATTTAAAACTGCCCAAGCAGGTATTCAGGGACAACCATGATGAACCTCAGCCTTTCTCCTGAACCCCCTGGAACCCGGGAAGATGGCACTCTGAGCACTTGGACAGTGTAGCTCTGGGTGGCTCACAAACACACGGTACATGAATGCATCGTAAATATAATACCGTATAAAGCAGCAATACCATAAAGCACCACTCCAACTTGGACACCCCTTCTATCCAAAATACGTTTAAAGCTGTTTGTGTAAGCCAAGCTTACAACAACCGCTAGCACCAACTCTGGCCACATTTCTAGGCTCTGGATTGCTACTCAGTTGCTATCTTTACAGTGGTACCTCTAGATGCGAACGGGATCCGTTCCGGAGCCCCGTTTGCATCTAGAAGCAAACATAACCAGCGATGGGACATCTGCACACACGCACGTCGCCTTTTTGCCGCTTCTGCGCATGCGCGTGACGCCATTTTGAGCGCATGCGCATGCACAAGCGGCGAAAGCCGGAAGTAACGCACTCCGTTACTTCCGGGTTGCTGCGGAGCACAACTCGAATGTGCTCAACCTGAGGTACAGTGGTGCCTCGCAAGACGAAATTAATTCGTTCCGCGAGTTTTGTCGTCTTGCGATTTTTTCCGTCTTGCGAAGCACAGTGTCGGGAAAGTTTTGGAAAAGCTTCAAAAATCACCAAAGTCTTCAAAAACCTCAAAAAAGGCTACCACACCGCGTTCTATGAGTTGCTCCTCGAAGTCAAGTCGCAACTGTATTAACGGTGTTAAGAAAAAGGAAACAAACTTGCAAGACGTTTCCGTCTTGCGAAGCAAGCCCATAGGGGAAATTGTCTTGCGAAGCAGCTCAAAAAACAAAAAACCCTTTCGTCTAGCGAGTTTTTTGTCTTGCGAGGCATTCGTCTGGCGAGGTACCACTGTATGACTGTACTGACCTGGTTTTCCAGTTTTCTCAGTCTAACCTAGGATGTATAGATACTATTTTACAAGTTTGCTTAACATATATGGGATAAACAAAGACAGAAGAGATTCCCATGGACCTGCCATAGCAGCATTAGCAAACAGAATATTCTCCCAAATTTTACCTTTACACTTTCTGGCCCTAAAACTATAGCACAGAGGCCAGAATAATGGTGAGTCTTCCCTCTCGGCCAAGACCCAAATGTAAGCTGATTTCAGGGCATGCCATTTTTAGTTGCTGCTAGCTCCTGTTCTGCTATTCAATACTTTTGTTAATTGTTAAAAGTGTTTTCTATTTCTGCCCCGCCATTATGAGTCCAAGCTCTCCTAAGGTATATTCCATAAAAACAACAATATCTACCACTCAGAAAATTAATAAACCAGCAATGATAAGACAGACATCCATCCCAGAACCAAAGTATAAACATAACCAAGACCTACAGCAACAAATGAGCACAACAAATAAAGCCCTTTCAAGGGAAAGCCAGCAAAAGCAGTTGGACTGCCTGATTTTCAACAGGATATGCAGAGCCATCTTTCCCATTGGGCTTACTGGCACGTTGCGCCAGGGCGCCGGCCTCTCAGGGGCGCACCAGCAAGTGGGGGAGTTTCGCGGCTTTGCCGGTGCCGGCGGCCTCCCCTTTCCCTGCACGCTCGCCAGCTGCGCCCCGTCAACCATATGGCTGGTGGACGTGCAGCTTCCTTCCCAAGCCTTCGTGGGAGGAGAGCGATCCCTGCAGAGCCTTGGGAAAAGGTCAACAACTCTGGGAAACGGGTAGTGGGGTGCTGGAGGGATCTTTGCACCACGGCGCCGGATATGCTTAAGACGGCCCTGAGGATATGGTAGGCCAAATTCTGAAGCACCTGAATTTTCTGAGCCATCTTTAAGTGCAGCCTCATGCAGAGTGCATTACAGTAACCCATTGTGGACTTAACCAGAACATGTACAACTGCAACTAGATCTGACCTCTCTAGACAGTGCCACTGTTGGCATACCAGCCTAAAGGGATAAAATGTAATCCTGCCATCGCCGCCACCACCTAGGCTGATGAGGCAGATTCCCAAACTACATATTTGATCCATTGGGAGAGTGTAATCCCATTGAAAACAACCTTCCAGAGCAAGTGATCTTCTTTCTCGAAGGACCTCTGCCTTGCCTGGATTCAGCCTCAGATTGTTCACCCTACTGCACCCCAGAAACGCCTCCAGACACTAGTTTAGGAATTAGGATAAGAATGGCAACAGGGCATATTCTTATCATTAGCCTTAATTGCAGTGAAAGAAGATTATGATCTTTTTGGCAGCGGGTGTAACCAGTATGATATATTCCTGGCGACTCGAGTACAATACGGATTTGCATGCTTCTCCGTACAAGAGAGTTGTCATTCAACCATTGGTGATATATGCTAGGAAATATGAGCTGCATCCAGAGTTCTCCCAAATAACTTGGAGACTTGGTTATACAACGTTGGCAAATTTGGAACAGACATGTAAGTTTGAATGCCAGCATTATTGGTCCTGAAACCCAGCTACTGGCAATCAGTCATCCTGTTAGCTTCTGAGATCACAGCTTGTTGACCAGATATTTTCAAGCATATATTTACAATCATTAGAGCGAAATACTTGCTTCTTTTATGAGATTTATAGACAAGGAAGTTGTGTGTCCTTCATATGCATTTGTGCTCTGTTTGCTGCTTCCACAGAATCACAGCATGCCCACAAACCTGATAAATGGTTGCCTGCACCACTTTTGTGCATGGCTATAAACTGTTCGTATGGAATTTTGCAAATGCCTGCCTGCCTGCCTGCTAGAATCTAAATGACTGTAATACACACACAAAGGACTGCTGCCAACTCTTTTCTGTGATTTATGTTGGCTCCCACACTCTTTTGTTTGAAGTCCTGTTTAGAGAAAGAAAGCAAAAAAGCCCCTTCAAGCTGTGGGTGAGGACTGACTCGCCATGCAGGTTTTCAGGAGTCCATTATTCCTTTCTTGTGTGTTGTAAGAGGCAGATTACAGAAAGCAGGGGGGGAAAGTATCACAATGCTAAGCCTTGTCGCTTGCAAATGCTGTGTGCCTGGGGCTTCGCCGCGAGAAAGTATTTGGGAACTCCCACATCCTCTTCTGAACAACTTTGTCACCTTGACATTTCATAGTACAAAGGGGGACAAATTTCCTCCCCAAGGGTGCCCCTCATCACCACGGAGTATCATCGTCTCCAGGAAAATGGCTCCTTGAAGCTGTTGGAAGGACTTTGGGGTCAAAGAAAGGTGTTGTTGTTGTTTAGTCGTTTAGTTGTGTCCGACTCTTTGTGACCCCCTGGACCAGAGCACGCCAGGCACTCCTGTCTTCCACTGCCTCCCGCAGTTTGGTTAAACTCATGCTGGTAGCTTCGAGAACACTGTCCAACCATCTCAGCCTCTGTCATCCCCTTCTCCTTGTGCCCTCCATCTTTCCCAACATCAGGGTCTTTTCCAAGGAGTCTTCTCTTCTCATGAGGTGGCCAAAGTATTGGAGTCTCAGCTTCACGATCTGTCCTTCCCGTGAGCACTCAGGGCTGATTTCCTTAAGAATGGATAGGTTGGATCTTCTTGCAGTCCATGGGACTCTCAAGAGGTAGGATGATACAAAGAGGGAGCTGCGGCCCGAGACAGGAAAAGAGGTGGTAAGGGAACACCTAGGTATTTTAAATGAATTCATATATTAAAGGAACTTGGGGTGTAATCTCAGTGCCTCTGTCTATAATCATTTAGAATTTGCAGTGAACAGGTAAGGTCTCTGCAGACTGGAGGTGAGCAAATGTTGTCCTCATCTTCAAAAAGGAGGGAAAAGAAGATTCGGGTAACTACCGACCAGGAAGCTTGGCATTGATACCAGGAAAGATCCTAGACCAGGTTATTAAACAGTTGGTCTATGAACACTTAGAAAAGGATACCGTGATTACTAAGACCCAGCATGGATTTCTCAAAAGCAAGACATGCCAGATGAATCTCAGTTCCTTTTTTGGTGGAACAGGGGAATCCTGTGGACGCAATGTATCTTGATTTTGGTAAGGGTTTTGACAAAGCCGCCCGTGATATTCCTGTGGAGAAGCTGATAAAATGTGGGCTGGACAAGGTAACTTAGATTGATTTGTAGCTAGTTGGCTGACCAAACCCAAAGAGTGCTCATTAATGGTTCCTCATCATCCTGGAAAAAGGAGGTGTCGCGGGGACTTTTCGAGGGCCTGTTGTTGTTCAATATCCTCATAAATGACTTGGATGGAGGTCTTGAGGGGATGCTCATCGAATTTGCAGATGGCACCTGCTATGTGCTGAAGTTCTCACCCTGGGCCAGCAGGGGGATACTGTAGATAGTTTTCACTCAGGTCCACATATGCAAATAAGGGATTGAAAGTGACGTTCAGTGATGGGATAGTTACAGAAAGTGGTTACTGTTGCGTTGTAGTGGAGCTCTATATAAGCAGGCTGGCTGAACCCTTCAGTACAGTTCTGTTCTGGCCTGTGAATAAACAAGAGCTGTATGGAGAATCGCTGTGTCGTCTGATATGTTCACCCGCAACCTAACAGCACCAAACTGGGCGGGATAGCTAATGCCGCAGAAGACAGAATCAGGCTACCTCAACAGAAGAAGTCTTGTGTCCAGGTCAAGGGAAGTCATAGTCCTACTGTATTCTGCCTTGGTCAGACCACACCTGGAATACTGTGTCCAGTTCTGGGCGTCCCAATTGAAGAAAGATATTGACAAGCAGAGAAGGGCAACCAAGATGATCAAGGGTCTGGAAACCAAAGCTTATGAGGAGTGGTTAAGAGAGTTGGGTATATTTAGCCTGGAAAAGAGGCTACTGAAAGATGATATGATAGCTGTCTTAAAATATCTGAAGGGCTGTGACATGGTAGATGGAATAAGCTTGTTTTCTTCTTCTCGGGGGGGGGGGGTAGGACTAAAACTAATGGATTCAAGTTACAAGCAAAGCCGTTGGTGTTAGTGGTTCGTTGCGCCAGGGCGCCGCCTCTCAGGGGCGCCCTAGCGAGTGGGGGAACTTTGCTGGCAGCCTCCCCTTTCCCTGCATGCCCACCAGCTGCACCCCGCCAACTACCGTATTTTTCGCTCTATAGGACGCACCGGACCATAGGACGCACCTTGTTTTAGAGGGGGAGAACAAGAAGAAAAAAATCTCCCCCTCTCTGCTCAGTGCCCCTTCAGCGAAGCGGCAGGAGGAACGGAGCCCCTTCCATTTCTCCTCCCGCTTGGCTGAAGGGGCGCTGCGCAGCTCTCCCTCTCTGCTGAAGCCAGGAGAGTCTTGCTCTCCCGGCTTCAGCAAAAGTAACCCGAAGCCTGTGGAGCGCAGCGGGAACTCGCGCTGCACTCCGAAGGCTTCAGGCAGCTATCCCTGAAGCCTCGAGAGCGAGAGGGGTCAGTGCGCACTGACCCCTCTCGCTCTCCAGGATTCAGCGAAAGCAACGTGAAGCGCATAGCGTTCCCTCTGTGCTTCGGAGGCTTCGCGTTGCTATCGCTGAAGCCATATCCCGTATTTTTCGCTCCATAGGACGCACACACATTTCCCCTTCATTTTTGGAGGGGGAAAAGTGCATCCTATAGAGCGAAAAATACAGTATATGGCTGGTGGGCGTGCAGCTTCCTTACCAAGCCCCTGCAGAGGCTCTGTATCTGTTAAAGACAGCCCTGCTCCCCGTCTTCCTCCTCCTGCTTCTTGGCAAATGGCGACGCACAGCCTTCCTGGGCTGCCTTCTCGGGCGCCCTGACACCAGAGAGCTTGTCCGCCAGCACGTTTTCCTGCTTGATCGCAGCCACCACGCTGGGGATCAGGGCGGTGGGGGAGGCAGAGGACATTTTCCACCACCCCCTCCCTTGTTTTGGAGTTGCCGGGGGGGGGCACCAGAGGGATCTTTGCACCATGGCGCCCGATGTGCTTAAGACAGTCCTGGTTACAAGAAAGGAGAATCTAACTAAACACCAGGGAAAATGTTATGATGATACGAGCTGCTCAACAATGGAACGGACTCCCTTGGAAGAAAGTGGACTCACCTTTGTTGGAGGTTTTAAAGCAGAGGTTAGGCGGCCATCTGTCATGGGTGCTTTAGCTGAGATTCCTGCATTGTGGGGGGTTGAACTAGATGATCCTCGGGGTCCCTTCCAACGCTACAATTCTATGATTCTATATAATAATAATAATTTATTATTTATACCCCGCCCATCTGGCTGGGCCTCCCCAGCCACTCTGGGCAGCTTCCATAAAAACCACAAATACAGTAAAATATCACACGTTAAAAACTTCCCTGAACAGGGCTGCCTTAAGATGTCTTCTGAATGTCAGGTAGTTGGTTATCGTTTTGACATCTGCTGGAAGGGCGTTCCACAGGGCGGGCGCCACTACCGAGAAGGCCCTCTGCCTGGTTCCCTGTAGCTTTGCTTCTCACAATGAGGGAACCGCCAGAAGGCCCTCAGCGCTGGACCTCAGCGTCCGGGCAGAATGATGGGGGTGGAGATGCTCCTTCAGGTATACTGATGCAAGAGTTGCCCGCTTTCCTTGCTAGTGGGTATGGGTTGCTCTGGTTGTCTGAGTGCAGCAGGAGTTGCTGTTGGGCATTTTGTGTCTGAAATCCTAATGGGTGGCTCATTAGGGTCCTAGGAAGAGAAGCATTATAAAAGTATTTAAGTTTCCTGGGTGCTTGTGAAATCAGGCTGTTTTGCCACCGCTGAAGCTCCCCCTCTAAGCATGCATGATGTGACTATTCAGAAGTAGGGGTGGAAGGATGTATACATTTTGGCTCTCTCTGTTTTCATTTTCCCCAATCTTACATCCAGTTCTCTGCATTTCTGCATCAGTATATGATTTATAAAAAAAATCCTCATGAAAATTATTCAGCAAATTCTTCTAACAAGTACATAAGATGTATTTTTGTGGGTTACTTTCACTAATATATTCATTTTATGCACACTTTTGCCTAATTTTGCCTTTTTGTAAACAATGTTTGGTTGGTCAAATACATTGTCAAGTTTGGATAACCGAGAGTTTATCCAAGCATGGCTGTATTAAGGTTCTCATATTGCTTTTGAAAGTGCAAATTGAATTAAATCCTACCCTCCACCCTTACTTGGAGCTAAGCCTGTTGAATTTTGTGAGACTTACTGCCATGGAAGTGTGCATAGGATTGTAGCCTAACTTATTCACGTGCATCTTACGCTTTCCTCTTCTCTTTCTTTCCAATAGCTACAGTAAACTTTCCAACTCAAGGTAGGCAGCTAATTCATCACTCTTCAATATTAACTTAACCTAATGCAAGTTGCAGCTACTCTGCTGTGTCTCCATTAAAACCACATGGGAATCGGGGTCAGAATGTCTCCAGCCTAAACTAACACTCTTCCCGTCCCGCCATTTTGAAGAGGAACAACATTTTTTGCTACGACTTAGCAGAACAAACCCTTAAAAAATAATAATAATAATGTTAGAGATGTGTGCAAATGGCTTCTGGAAATTTTCTACGCTTCTTTGTGGGCAGAAAAATGGAAGGAGCCATTTCATCAAATTTCTCCAGGGGGAGGAGAAATTTGCCATCATTTTGTTGGGGGGGGGCTGTAAGACTTTCCATTAGCGGTGAGTAGCCAACGTTCTTTCCTACAGTGTTGTTTGTTTAGTTTTGGCTGCTTCTGGAAGAAGAAGCAACAGCAGCAACTATGTTGTGACAGCCCGGCTGCCATTTTGCGTTTCCCACAATGCTCTGAACTTCATCTGAGCATTGTGTGCGGAGGTGGTGCTGGTGGTGGGAAAATGGCGACCACCATTTGATGGAGAATATTCAGAGAAATTTCTGTGACGTGGTCTTATTTTTCTCAGAAGAGTGTCTTCTGACATGCTTTTCCTCAGCTCTAAAAATATTCCGTGGGGGTTCCTATCCTGTGTTGCTTTTGGTCAGATTCTAAAAATTAGAATCTAACATAACCAAGTAAGATTTCAGAACAGGTAAGTACCATGAGGAGCACATTTCCTTGCATATCTTCTGTGCACAATTAACCAGGCCTGTGAATCCTAGGGAATAGGAGGTACTGGAAATAAAATCAACCACCACAATATTTTTCTCATAAACATGTACCCTCTGGTGGATACATGGCAAAATGCACACAGGCTATTTAAATGTACAGCTGGAGTGAATGCAGTTGCAAATACATTCATCTTAAAACTGCATATCTCTTGATTTCATTCCCTCGATGAATGCTTGAATCTGTTGCTTTTTGCAATTGTTCTGTTATATCTGATTTGTGCCTAGTTAATGGAAATAAATAGTTTCCTTTGCATGCCGGTAAAAATAGTTTTTTGTTCAGATGGACTTTAAACCTGTTCACAGACAGCTGTAAACATATTCATGCTAAAATATACTTTTAAAAAAACGAGAGTGATTGTTTTCAAATGTTGCCCTTCTATGCCAACTCGCTTGAAATGGCATATTATCCGAGGCAGGTAGATCTAGCTGCAGATTGGCGATGTTTGGAAGAAGAGGGAACCTGCAAAAGTGGATCTGAGATCAGAACCAAAATGAGATCAGAACCAAAACAATCGCAACACTGGGTATTATGCATATCCCTGAAATAGGAACTTGCTGCTGCCCCATCACCTTTGTGGGGCTACCTGCAAAGCAGTGGCGATGACAATGGTCTCTGATGAGTTCTCATAAGACCTTGCCGAAATTTCGTGAGATTTTGTGTGTTCATTTTCTCTCAGTCAAACCTATTTCTCAGGGCCGGTGCAAAAGCCTTTGGTAAAGCCTATTTGGGAGAGGTTATACATAGTGATGTTAAATTCTCGAGAATAATCTTTTGGAGAATATTCTCGATTAATGAGGTGTGTACATTTAAAGCAGCTGTGTAGACGACACAGAATTTAGTTTGTCGAGAATATTCTCTTCTCACCTCACATCACTACAGTGATACCTTGGTTCTCAAACTTAATCCGTTCCGGAAGTCCATTCCAAAACCAAAGCGTTCCAAAACCAAGGCGCGTTTTCCCATAGAAAGTAATGCAAAATGGATTCATCTGTTCCAGACTTTTAAAAACCAGCCCTAAAACAGCAATTTAACATGAATTTTACTATCCAACGAGACCATTGATCCATAAACTGAAATCAATAAACAATGTACTGCAGTCACACAATCAATTAATCAGTAGCTGAACTGGGTTCCGTACATTCACACACACACACACACACACACACAAAACAGAAACGCAAAATAAATAGCAAAAAAAGACACCTCAGCGTAACACTCAAAATGGAAGCGTAACACTCAAAACGGAAGAGTAACACTTAAAACGGAAGAGTAACACTCAAAACGGAGCATGTTCGGCTTCTGAAAAAAGTTCACAAACCAGAACACTTACTTCCGGGTTTGCAGCGTTTGGGTTCCAAGTTGTTTGAGTACCAAGGCATTTGAGAACCAAGGTACCACTGTAGTTATACATGCTACTTTTGGAGTTTTATCAGGCAAGAAAGACATCATTTGACAACCATTGGGGTGGGGCTCTCTCCACACTCTATAAAGGAGTTTGAGGGCATGTCTTCATGCTACGAATTTAAACCAATGTCATGCATGTTTGGGGACGCGGGTGGTGCTGTGGGTTAAACCACTGAGCCTAGGACTTGCCGATCAGAAGGTCGGCGGTTCGAATCCCCGCGACGGGGTGAGCTCGGTCCTGCTCCTGCCAACCTAGCAGTTCGAAAGCACATCAAAGTGCAAGTAGATAAATAGGTACCACTCTGGCGGGAAAGTAAACGGCGTTTCCGTGCGCTGCTCTGATTCGCCAGAAGCGGCTTAGTCATGCTGGCCACATGACCCGGAAGCTGTACGCTGGCTCCCTTGGCCAATAAAGCGAGATGAGCGCCGCAACCCCAGAGTCGGCCACGACTGGACCTAATGGTCAGGGGTCCCTTTACCTTTACCTGCATGTTTACCTGTCCAAACCCTCAATCACAGAACTGTTACACAGTCTATATCTATAGGGTCCTCCTCTCCCCTTTTGCGGTTCTGCCCCACTGCCAAAGCCTCCCTTACCTGGGTAATATGGTGGTGCCCAGGAAGCAGCGATGGCAGTTTCTGGCAAGATCTGGTCTTGCCAGAAGCCACCACTTTTCCTGGGGTTTTGGGGTGGCCGGGGGGCGCCGCCTCTTGGGGTACTGCTGCCTAAGGCAGCTGCCTCAGCTCACCCCATGGGTGGGCCGGCCCTGATAGTCTGGATCTGCAATCCATAGCGCCTGCTTTTCACCTGCAAATCATCCTCTCCTGGTGCTGCTTTGCAGCTGAGAAAGTGCAGCCTGACACATGAGTCAGCTAGTAGTGTATAGTTCAGGGGAGATTATGGGCTGTTGCTTAACACTGGCTTGTGCCCATTTCTCTGATGTAGCTGCCAAACAGAAGTCCACGCCTGTCGCTGGCTGCTCGATATCAATTAGATAGAAGATTATCGCAAATCGGCTGGAGCCACTTATTAAATAATCAGGGCAATTAACTCCTTAACTAAGTGAAATATACTTGGAGTCCTGCAGTGATTTCATGCTCTTTATTGCAGCTTGTGTGGCTATTCCCTCCCCCCCCCCCACAGGTGGAATAAATGAAGACAACGGACACAGAGTTTTAGGTTAATGGGCGAAAATGGCCACAACTTTATTGATTACAGGAAAGAAGGGTATTGGCTTTAGGCATTGGCCCTAACCGACTATCCGGTCTGACCGGGAAGGGTTAAACACCAACAGGGGGAGCCACCCGAGATGCATATCCCTAGGCGCTCCCCGAGGGGTTACCGCTCGGGGGCGCGCTTTAGGCCCTAGCCTCCGTAGGTTTCGGACGAGGCGTCGCCCCTCGGAGTCCTTTAACGAACTACCCTTCAAGCATTGGGGGAGGTGATGGCGTTCCTCCCCCCCAACCTCATCTGCATGACAATACCCCGGCCAATGCCTACCGCCAAAACCGAGGGAGTTGTGACGATTTGCTACGAGGTAGGCGAAAAAACCAAGTGGCTCACAAAACCAGCCAATTAGCCAAATGGAAAAACTCCTACCAGGCCCCTTGCGGCGACCAGCCGAAGCCCATAGCAAGGTCAGTGGCAAAACCTAAAGGGCGGATGGGTGGGAAACCGCGTCGTCTCCAGGGAAGAAAGGGGCGAGCCAAGGGCTGCCCTGACCTTAAGTGGCCTTACGAAGGCCCGCCCCTGCCGCCAGCCGATTGGCTGGCGCCACAGGGTATGCTAATTGGGGGAATCCCTGTCTCCCGCGAGGCTGGCGCCAGCCTCGCGAGAGCGAGTGTGGGCGGGGTCGTGATCCCACAACCCCCCCTCCTCCTGACGATCGGAAGGGGCATTGTGTGGCTATTCCCTCCCCCCCCACAGGTGGAATAAATGAAGACAATGGACACAGAGTTTTAGGTTAATGGGCGAAAATGGCCACAACTTTATTGATTACAGGAAAGAAGGGTATTGGCTTTAGGCATTGGCCCTAACCGACTATCCGGTCTGACCGGGAAGGGTTAAACACCAACAGGGGGAGCCACCCGA